TAATAACTGTTTTAATAGCCTAAGTTCTAGAAGTTCCACTGTTCTGGAAATATGACATCAGACCTAAAATTTGTATGGCTTATTTTTAGTTAAGGGCTCGTAGAACCTTAAGTAACGTTGGAGGTAAACATTGCTAAAGCTTAATTTAAATTTAGTTCACTTATGGTAATGTAGATATGGATCTATTTTTGCCGTTAACCGTCCTAATCGATAGCTGTGCAAAGAAGCTTAATGTTAATTACTAACTTGCTGATAGATACCGTTCGACGAAAGGAAGGATTTTTTTCTCGGAGCTAACAATTTCCAGGAATCTCTCAACGTACGTGGAACACTCATTTTTAGACCGCAGTATATACACCACGAATTCTTCGTACGTCCCATATTTCCCAGTTATAATTGATACCTCTCGGACAAAGACGTACGTTGCAATAATGAAGAATATTCAACAGATATGCTGTTCAGAATTATTTAGTTATTCAAACACGTCATTAAAATATGAGATTTTCTAAGCCAACGTTTCTACGTTTTAACGTGAATACGTTTTCGTATTTTAATGATAACTGAATACGGAGTGTCCCACAAAAAGGTTTACAGTGTTTGAATGTTAACAATAGAGAGAGTATTATAAACACTCTGATGCTGGAACTTTTTGTATCTGGATCTGCCATGATTACTGCTTGTTCGTTCATTTATTTTAAAGCCGATTATTATAAAAGCAAATTAGGCCGACGAGGAAGTGTCGAGATCCACCCACGTCTCCTGATGTAACACTGTTAGACTTCTTCCTGTGGAGAACATTGAGGAACACTGTCTACGCCACAAAACGACATACTCTGGTTGTGACGAGAGGAGATCATGACTGCCTGTGAATCCATTCCTATTGAAAACATATCATATGTTCGTCGATCTGTTCCACAGCGTTCCAGACGATGTACTTCTGCCAATGGAGGACATTTGGAACATTTTCAAAATTAGAACATCATCAGTAATATTTTGAACATCTTTGTGATTTAAAAAATCATATTTTTGTTATTTTAGTTCAAACAGTTTAAATCTCTTTGTAGAACACCCTGTATTCTGTCCAATGATGGATTTATAAATGTTACTTTTCGCACCGATGTTACGTAGATCTTTATGCTCGATCGGTCGATCCATAGGAAATATGCACCCGCAGAACGATTGCCTCGATTTAAGTCGGAGCTCGTAACATCGAGTGGATTACCGCAGTACTTGTGCTGCACACGGTCTCTTCAAGTGATTCGTGTCAGTGCGTAGTCAGCCGTGGCCGGTTGCGCTTTTTCCAACGGGACTATCGATTCTGATGATATCGTTAACTCCTATTTAAATCCTATTGGCAAATCATATTTTCAAAGTCCCCGTCGCGATTGTTTGTTTAACAAATGTGCGAGGATCATCGTGAAATTTTTATTACGCTTTCAAATTTTGAATATCTTCGATAATATTCAAATTGAAGCTTGTTAACATTCTTATTTTCCGGTTCATGAAACGCAGATGCATTATTTCACAGCTGCCACTGACGTAAATATCTTGGACAGAGTTGCGTCACATGAAAGGTTTTTCTTCGATCAGAACGCCGTTACTGTTAGGATTTTTATTTCGTAATCGGAATTCTGTAGAAGTCTTTCAATGCTTATCCATCGTTATTGTTCAAGAATTCGTTTTTCAATAGGAATATTTCTTTATATCTCGTTAAGAGAACTCGAATAGCTCTTGTAAAGTTTTTTTATTGAGCTTTATATTGGGTTGGCAACTAAGTGATTGCGGATTTTAAATAAGAAGTTTATCGACAAACTCCGCAATTATTTAGTTGCCAGCCCAATAAATAGACTACGAGTTCACGTAGGCGGAATTAGCTTTATTGTGCAAATTTCAAAGAGCCAGTGGTTCAAGCGGAATCAATTTAAAAAGATGGATCACAATATCCAATCACGAGGACTGCTGGTCTTAATTATAGTTCTCATCGTTTTTGAAAAGCGATCCGGAGCATCTTCTACTAGTAATAGTACGTTTACTCGCACTGTCAATTATCTGTTATTCTTCGGAATATTGAATTACAACGAGGTAGTCTTGAGTTTCCTTGCTCTCAATTCTCGATATCGATCGCACCATCGTGAGTCAAACTTTTACAGTTGCCTGAAGACAGTAACTCGCCCTAATCAAATATTGATAGGACCACATCGAAGTGTAAATTGTCATTACCTTCTAATTGAATCACTATACCGAATAATCGCTTCCGATGACAGATTTGAAATACGGAAACGAAAGCCTCTGATCAGACCGCAAAAACTCTCGAGGACTAATTTTACACGTAATACGCGCTCTTCCATGCAGCTGAATCGGCGCGATTGTAACAGAACGTCGATAAGCTCCTAGTAGAACGCGTCAGCTATTGAGCAGACGCTGCAGGACCAGTCGTTTAAAAATATACTTTTGTTAAAGGGTCGAACGGTTTTAAACACAATCCGTTAATCCCTGTTTCGCGGTTCGATGGACACGTTCATTCGGAATCTTTGTTAATAAATAAAATTAACCGGCGCGTGTGATTTTGTATCAAGCGTTCTGCAACAGTATATCTCAAATTGTATTACATGTACCACTGATGACGTTATTTTTGGTGGTACAATTTTAATACCTTAAAATGTATTATTTTTCCATTATAAATATTCCATTTGGTTTTATTATTCATTATTGTTCATTATAACTTTTGATTGTNCTTGGTCTACTAGTACGAATCGATATAATAATTCTATTATTTCATTAGATTTTTAACTGTTTTAATCAGATCTTGAAAATCGTTTTATCAGTGAAGAAATTAATCAGATTTACAGGTGGACTGTAATCCGTGCGCTCTTTTTGCTCGAGCGTTGATTGACGAGCTCGTTTGTCGATCGTTTCGAGAGCAGAAGGATAATTATCCACCGATCGACGAACCTTTTGTGAGGGTATCGATCTCTGGCACCGTGTCCACGGTGCACCAGTTACTCTCATTTGCGAGTAATCGACAGCGTCACGAAACTTAGCGCCGAGGCCCTGATCAGAGTTTAATTCAATATACCATAATAAACTCGATCAAACTTTTCCAATACAGGTCTTATCTCTTCGCGCGAACCTCGTTAACACTTCCACCGCAACAAGAAGTTGCTCTGTTACTTCTTCGGTCGTTGAAATTAAAAAATATGAAATCCAGATCGAGATTTGTTTTATGCATATTCTTTGTATTCGATGGATGTCCAATTCCGTAGTCTAATAATATAATGTATCGTTGAATAAAATAATGAGTGAAACGTATTCCCATTTTCTCAATTTTACTCTCATTTAATTTATTTGATTATTTTCTGTCCAGAGAAGCGAGAAGAAGGAAACGTTGATCGCCAGCACCGCCGCCGACGTGAATCCGACGCTGAATTAAAAACAGAAGGAAAATGTCGTCGGTAAAGGTGGCGGTGAGGGTACGGCCCTTCAACAATCGGGAGATCGTCCGCGAAGCACAATGCATCATCGAAATGACCGGCAACACTACTTGTAAGTAGAATTAATTTAATTCGTCCCGGCGACATTCGCTCGACACTCTTATTACTGATCGAGCTGCCTGCCTTGATTAAGATTTAGTTTTTAATTAAAAGCCTCGAGATAGGAAAACTCGGAAGTTTCTTCTAATTGCTGAATTAATACAGTGTCTGTTTGTTCCTGTTTGGATTCGTCGTTCAATCATCGTGATTGTGTTTGGACAACGTGAAGATACACACGGCGGAGACAGTTTATTTTAGTAGAAAGTACCAGAGAGAAAATTCTGTTCTCTACCTGTTTATAAAACTTCCCTCTTTTTCAGTTGATAATATAATTTTGCACTTCGGTTTCTCGAGAGATCTGTACGTTACGTGCGAGAAGAAAAATAAGGCTGCGCATAAGACGATTACTTCGGGTCTCCTTCTTGTATTATATCTATTTCCTTTGTTGCGTGTTACAGCGATATTGAACCCCAAGGCGCCGCCGGGCACCAAAGATGCGATCAAGAGTTTCAATTACGATTATTCCTATTTTTCCATGGACGTGAGTACTACTTCATCGTTATTAATTAAATCCCTTATTCGAAAATAACTCACTGGTTCAGAATTAATCGATTATTTCCTATGAAGCTTTTATTTAAGGTCACTGATCGATAGCGCTTGCCATTAAACGAATACTGACTCGTGTAACACTTCATAGATCGCTGCGCATTAATTTTGTCTACTCCTCGAGCATACATATTTAACTATTGTTAATATACTTGAATTGTTATGGAAAATAAAATAAAACTTTGTTAAAAAAAAATTATTTTTAAATAATTATTTAACTGAAACAAATGGAAGTCGAAGCTGAAAACCAGTAATTCATTTGAGTATTGGGAACAGATAATAAATGTACAAATTGTTCTTTATAGCCGAACGATGGAAATTATTCTTCGCAACTAATGGTCTACAAAGATATCGGCGAAGAGATGCTGGAGCATGCTTTCGAGGGTAAGCCCGTTACCAAATGTCAGATTCTTCAGACACCGTGGAACCCGGAATTCTCCCATACCGCAGAATTTACATCTAGTAACTGATACGCATTCCGTGCGGACAGGAATTGGCATACATTCATTCACACATTCCCGACACATATTCAGTAATCGTGGGCCGTAGACAAATATTTAAAATTCGAGACTCCCCGTTGCTTCGCCTCTTCTAAAAATAAATTATAATTAATGGCACGATTCGCTTATCAATGAAACGTTGGAAAATCATTGTTCGTAGGATACAATGTCTGTATATTCGCGTACGGGCAAACCGGTGCCGGTAAATCGTACACGATGATGGGCAAGCAGGAAGAGGGTCAAGAGGGGATAATACCACAAATTTGCAAGGACCTCTTTAGAAAAATCAGCCGCAATTCAAACGAGTGCCTCAAGTATTCGGTGGAAGTCAGTTACATGGAAATATATTGCGAGAGGGTGCGGGATTTATTGAATCCTAAGAACAAAGGGAACCTCCGGGTTCGGGAGCACCCTTTGCTCGGGCCATACGTCGAGGACCTGTCGAAATTAGCGGTGATGTCCTATCAAGATATTCACGATCTCATCGATGAAGGCAACAAAGCAAGGTGAACAGTGGAAAGAAAACAAGACAAACAGTGATCGAAGTTATGTCACAGGCGAAACAATGGATTGATGAAATTTCAGAACGGTGGCAGCGACGAACATGAATGAGACGTCTAGCAGATCTCACGCCGTGTTCACGATATTCTTCACGCAGCAGAAGCAGGACTCAGCGACTGGGTTGGTCACAGAAAAAGTGAGCAAGATCTCGTTGGTCGACTTGGCCGGTTCCGAAAGGGCTGACTCGACCGGGGCTAAGGGCACGAGGCTAAAAGAAGGTGCCAACATTAATAAAAGCTTGACTACCCTCGGGAAAGTGATCAGTGCCCTAGCAGAAATCGTAAGTAAACTCCTCACATAAATTATTCTCAGGAAAAAAAAATAGTCGTGCACATTGTTATTAAAAATGCGAGGTACGAAACGATAGCTAGAGAAGACAAGCTTCTTACTATACGAAATGATCGCGTGACTAACAAACGTTCGTGTGCATGTTACACTCTCCGATATGAAAGTTGCACAATTTCAACCTTGCAAAATTGCCGAGATATTCTCAGAACTTTAAATCCGTACTTTTGTCTATTCTGCTGCCCTTTTATTGTGGATTCGTAGGCGGTAAGTTCTCGCATCCAAACAAGAATTATATAACCGACTATTCATTTCAATCTGCTTTTACATACGTGTTCGTAATTGTTGTTTTGAATAAAAATATTTTTGTCTACGTGTTCAGGCGACTAAAAAGAAGAAGAAGGCTGATTTCATTCCGTACAGAGACTCCGTTCTAACGTGGCTGCTGCGGGAGAATCTCGGTGGTAATTCGAAGACAGCGATGATTGCGGCAGTCAGTCCGGCAGACATCAATTACGATGAGACTCTCTCCACTCTACGGTATAATCATTCACCCTCTAATTATTCCCATTTATTATCAATCAATTTTTCTCCGAAACTCAGGCATCGTCAGGAACAAAGCTTCTAAGAATTATTTTTTAAAAAGAATGCAATTGTCTCATTTCTGAAAATAATTTACAATATTTTTTCGTCTATGTTTTGATAAATAATAGATACGCGGACAGAGCGAAGCAGATTGTTTGCAAGGCGGTTGTCAACGAAGACGCGAACGCGAAACTTATCCGGGAGCTCAAAGAGGAGATTCAGAAGCTACGGGAGTTGTTGAAACAAGAGGGTATTGACGTGCAAGAAGGTGAGCGAGCTTATTTCGTTGTACTCATTCGACGATTTCAGAGAATGACGCTCCTCTCTCTATGCAATACCCGCGTGACTCAGGCATGTGCAAATAATATTTCGTATTCGATTAATACGACTTGTCAATGATAGCGATCATACCGGGCTCCTGACAATATTAAACGATTTGCATGTGTCTGATATAATTAGTCAAAGTCATCCCTTACATATTTCTACTAATGATACCTCGTACTGGCCTTCTTCAAATATGTAAAACGTTTCAATTAAAGGAATAAATATTTAAAGAGAACGAAGGCGATAATGAATAAATATTGCGGGAAGAGGGCAGGCGATGGTTGAAAGAAAATAAGGCGAGAACGGGAAAGTAATGAAAATGGGGAATGAGAAGTTGTGCGAGAGTAGCGCGCGGTAGACGAGTTACACTATTTACATAGTACATTTTTTTGTTTGTTTCCCCTGTGCTTGACGTAGGGCCAGATGGCAAAGTCACATATGAAAAGAAAGAACCTAGTAAGTAAAATCACAAGACAATCCACACAGCGAAAAGAAACATTAATTAAAAGCCGAGGCGATCGATCACTATTCTGCGCCTGATTCTTTGAACGTCCGCTTAATTCACGGCCAAGTGCATAATGCGTGTCATCTGTCTGTCTCGTCGACGTGTAGACACGGACTGCTCGTTACGTGGGAGAAGAGCCTGGTCGAGAAATCAAAGAGAACAATCATTTCTGTTGGACACTTCTCCCTGTCTATTACAGCAGCGTGACAAATGAATCGAGAACAAAAAATGTATTACGCCAAATGTTAATGACTGTATATAAAAAAAGCGCTGATGAAACACAGTGAGGATTGTCCTGGAGAATCATTTTTTAATTCTGAAGGAGACAAGCGTTCCACAGAAGTTCTTCTCTTTCATTTCTCGATTACGTTTATCTCGTAAGATATGAGTAGTCTATGATTACGTGTCGACGATCTGTCTGTCTACCTTATTTCTATCTCTGTGTTCTTGTCGATTCCCAACAGAATTCTCTTTACATTTTGCTTCGCGTGAATCGCATTTTTCCTTTAATATACATGTACTCCGTGGTAACCAGCAGCCCGTTGATCATACCATTGTCCCCTGTCTCTCGTAGAGGTAATTAGAGCAGCTTTTTGCGTTTTGAGACGAGATGCTTCTCATTAAGAAAACAGGCAATCAACGACCGATTGTATGCAGTTCGATTTGAAACTAAAAATTGTAACCTCGACCTCCTGTTGCCAGAATAATCATTTTCTAAGCGACTACTCGAATTTCATGTTCATTTGAAGAAATCTTATTAGCTTCTCTTCTTCCAACTACGTATTATACAAATGATTAAGCGACGGACGTCCACGTGTCCTCAGGCTTCATAGTTGTATCAGAAATCCTCTCCACGTATTGTTTGCCTCGCTTATTACCCACTTAGATCCATCACTTTGCTCCCGAATAAGCCTAAAGATATTGCATGGCACTCGATAATCGACAAGTTGAACGCATCTCGGACGCAGTGACACGCGAGCACCGTTCGTTTAGACATGAGAAAATCGATCGAGTTTTGCCGACTATATACGTAGTTGACTAGCATTATTTGATTCAGCGCTGCCGCTTGACTTGCATAAATATGTACAGATATCTGTTTTTACAATACCTACGAGTAATACATACATTGTTCATCACACCTATGATATTTCCATATGAAATGTGGTACTTCAGTTCTATAATTTCATTTTCAATCTTGCCTAGAAAACTACATTCTATGCGATGAACAAAATATCGGTAATTTTTAAATCCCTTGACACTTAACTGTACTTAACGAGCAATCTTGAGTTTTCTTTGACTGCTATGCGACCAGACACAGCATAACAGCATTTTTCGTATCGAACAAGAGATCTAAATCAGATACGTTATAGTTCCATCGTAACACGGATCGCGGTATAGGTCTTTGGAAAATGTTCTCTTTCACTTACGCCACCGCTTTAGTTATGGCTTTTGATGTTACCGAGACCGCGTGTTACATCCCTTGGCTGACTCGCCACACTCCGGATTCAAATCTCTTCTCTTCCGTCACCGAATTCGATCTTCTTTGTCCCGTAGGAGACGAAATCGTACGCGCGACCAAGCGCGAGGATGACGTGAAGGAAGTCCGACCTAGGATCCCGTCTCACACCACGTCTACTTTAGCCGAAGAAGCAGTGGATCAACTTCAAGCTTCAGAGAAACTAATAGCAGGTAAATATCAACTGGTAATAAGAAATTCAACTGTTAATTAAAGATCAAATATTAATCAATGAATTAATTTGTAGAACTGAACGAGACTTGGGAAGAGAAGCTGAAACGAACTGAACTGATTCGTTTACAACGCGAGGCGGTGTTCGCCGAGATGGGAGTAGCTGTGAAAGAAGACGGTGTCACGGTCGGGGTCTTCTCTCCAAAGAAGACACCCCACTTGGTGAATCTGAATGAAGATCCGCTGATGTCCGAATGTTTGATTTACTACATCAAGGACGGATTCACGCGTATCGGCAGCGCCGAAGCTAACATCCCGCAAGACATTCAGCTGTGCGGTCCTCATATATTGAGCGAGCACTGCGTGTTCGATAATCACGACGGCGTCATTACTTTGATCCCGAAGAAGGGCGCGTTAATTTACGTGAATGGTCGCGAGGTCATCGAACCGATCATACTGAAAACCGGATCTCGTGTGATTTTGGGAAAGAATCACGTATTCAGATTCAATCATCCTGATCAAGGTGAGTTCGTCGACGATTGACTACATTGATACAAGTTTGCAATATCCGCTACATGTTTCTTATAGAATTTCTCATGGCAAAAACGAATCCGAAAATAGAAATGCTCTATCACCGTTTCCGGTTTTTGTAAAAATGTTTCGGGAAAATGAGGTATTACATGTTTCTGCGCGTCAGACATGTTTGAGCAATCCTGTTTGTGGATTTATTTTTGTCACGTTCTATAAGAATCACGAAGTGATCGCTAGAAAATGAAGAAGTTCTTTTTGTTGGACTGTGTTATAAAAGTTTAACGGTGAATCGAATGTGTAGTTCGCGAGCGACGAGAGAAAGGGTCGCCCGCCGAAACCCCTGGAAACGGAGAGACGGTCGATTGGAACTTCGCCCAGATCGAGTTGCTGGAGAAGCAGGGAATCGATCTGAAGGCTGAGATGGAGAAGATACTTCTTGTTATGGAAGAACAGTTCCGTAAGGAGAAGGAAGAAGCGGATCAATTGTTCGAAGAGCAGAGAAAGGTATGACATCTTGAAGTGTAATCAATATTTTACGTAACGATCGATGCACGTTACGTGATGTGAGCGGTTTCGTTTTTCTATAGAGCTACGAGGCTCGTATAGACGCGTTGCAAAGGCAAGTCGAAGAGCAGAGCATGACGATGTCGATGTACAGCAGCTACACGCCAGAAGACTTCAACAACATCGAGGAGGATATCTTCGGTGAGTATACGTATTGAATGAATTATTTCCGAAGAAATAGCATATTTATTAATAGACTAGGGATCTTTATACAAAATGAACTGTGTATAATGTAGAAAATGAAATCTACATTTCTACTGCATTTTAAAATTCACAATATTCTTTATGGATGGACAATGAATGAATTATGTATATCTTTCTATAAATGCCTGAAATTCGCAGTCTGTTTACGAAGTGAACTATTTCTTCTAGTTATAATAACTCATGGGACATTTATATTTCACAATATTTTAAGCGGTAGTATACAATATAGATCGTCCTACTCCTCTCGTTAAAAGCTTGGAATTTGTAATGGGTTTCGTTTATCTTTTCTTCCGGTTACAAATTCTATCTGTGCAAGACGATCAGATGGTGGCACGTGACGAATATTTTCTGAATGCCTATTTTATCGTTCGATTATCTTGCGATGCACGCATGTGGTTTAACTGGCAATGGCAATACTTTTCTACTTTGTTGCTCTTGGAATTATTATTATCGATACACTCTTCATATTTTATTGGAAACGATAAATGATCATCTGATCGTGGGCGGAACAGCATTGTCTCCTTTTAACGAAGGAATCGGCGTCCACGAAACTGCTTGGCTTCTCTGACTGTTTTGCCTGGTAATGGCTTGCATTTCAGTCAACCCCTTGTTTGACGCAGAGAGCAACTGGACCGAGAGAGAGTTCCAGCTGGCCGCTTGGGCCTTCCGCAAGTGGAAGTACCATCAGTTCACAAGTCTTCGGGACGATCTATGGGGCAACGCTATATTCCTCAAAGAAGCTAACGCTATTTCTGTCGAACTCAAAAAGAAGGTACATCCGTAATTCATCCGCCGATTGAATTTCACAAAAATTCAGATCTTTATCGAAACCACATTTTTTCATCGTGCCAAATAAACGTTCAATAATTTCAAATCAGTCACGAACGCTCTTTTCAACATACTTTGAGTTACTGAAAGTTGAAAATGTTCAAAGATCTTTCCTAATTTCGTACCGCCTTTTTGACGTTCTACGAATTTATATTACAATAATTAAATAAACAGTTGTTTCTTTATTCTTTTTTTGAACCGTTTATCTATTTTGTGTCTAGCAATTATTTCTATAATTTTTCACCGATTACGCGGCATTCTTTGTATTGTTTCAGGAGATTAAAAGTGTACTGGTATTACATACTAAATAATGCGATCTACACTTTATAGGTACAATTCCAATTTACTTTGCTCACGGACACACTTTACTCGCCGCTTCCCTCGGACCTTCTACCCGCGGCAGATGACGAAGAAGAGGAGGAGAGGCCATTCCCGCGCACGATAGTCGCGGTCGAGGTTCAAGACACAAAGAACGGCGCGACGCATTATTGGACCCTCGATAAACTCAGGTTCGTCAATTTCTTTCATTCTCCGCAATTTTTACATTACCATTTGTATAAACAGGGTGGGTGAGTTATATAAATTGCTCTAATCATCAGTAAACAGCGAGGAACAAGACAGAATCAGCAAATGCACTTGTTTACGTATTAATATCAATGAATATAATAACCGTTTCCTGTTTATTTCCGTGAAATCGTCGCTAATTTTTCCTTATCGATTATCGTGATTGAAATATCGGTTCTCTTGCCCATTTTTGTGTCCCCCTGTTCGTAATGTTAAAACTCGTCGCGCGGGTGAACCAAGGGCCATTAAATTCACTGCTTTTTAATGAGACACGAGCTTGGATTTTGGAAAACGAAAGCACGGATACACTCACGCAAGTTAATACGTGTTGACTTGTAGACAACGCTTGGAGTTGATGCGACACGTGTACAACGAGGACTCGAGCCCCAGCACTCCGGAGGCCAAAGAGGATATATTCCAATGTCTAACCGCCTACTCTAATCCGAAGTTCTCGCTCGCAAATCTTTTGCCTTCGAGGTTGGTGCTCGAACGCGTGAGACTCTTTCCTCTTTATCGTCGCACGCTTCTCGCCCATCCTCTCTCATTTCTTTCTCCTACTTTCTGTCAAGCCTTCTTTATACTTAACAGATGTCTGCCTAAAACGTTGATTTCCCTCTCTTCGCTGTCTCTCGAACTCAACGATCCTACCTTTCTGTTATTTTAATTAATTGTAATTTGCTTTGCGATTGTGCTGAGTTCGTCAAGATGTATCTATCAAGGATCTCTGCATGGCCAACCATGTTCCGTCCTTCAATAATAATCGTGACTCGATTTATCCTCTCGTAATTAGTAAAAAAATCGAAAAGTACGTTTAAAATCGACTTGAATACTTGAGAGCGATTCTCTTTACTATCGTTCTAGATTTTACATTGAACTGGAAATGGGAAAATAGTATTGAAGAACTGAAATTTATAAGTAAAGATTGATTTCTTTTGTGCAGAATTCAGTTCTCTCGCTGAACACGTGAACTCCTTGCAGCTGAAATTCTTTGACACCCTCGCTTCGTGTTTATATATCATCGTGCACGTGCCATTACGATTACGAATACTCGAATCGAACCAAAACGAGCACGTAGTAGACTCTAGTTGTAGGAACACGTATCTCTTCAATCTGTTCACTACACCACTGTAGTTCTACTTAAAACAAAAAATACAGGGACAGCAATAATGTGATAAGAAGTCGTTCGAAGTTTACTCTGAATTGATCTTTCTTAAATTCTTATGTCCCTTTATTTGAACATCTGCAAAATTGACACCACAGGATTTCTGAATACATTCGAACACGCATCACACAGTATAAATGTGAACGTACATACGGCGAGTGTCCTTCACTGTGCTTCTCGACAATGTTCGACTACGTCTAAAAAGGACTGAATAGATTGATTCAGAGACTGGATATGTTCGTTTGATTTGCGTAGACAAAGACTCGAACTGATGCGAGAAATGTATCACAACGAGGCTGAACTGTCCCCAACATCCCCGGATTTCAACATCGAGTCGATCACTGGCGGCGATCCATTTTACGACCGTTTCCCATGGTTCCGAATGGTTGGCAGGTTTGTAAATAAATAAATCAAATCGAAGTATGAACAGGAAAGCTTTCCGGACATAATGGGAATTAATAAGATTTCTGTTCATAGATCGTTCGTCTATCTGAGCAATCTTATGTATCCGGTGCCGTTGATCCACAAAGTAGCGATAGTCAACGAAAAGGGAGACGTGAAAGGCTACTTGCGCGTGGCCGTACAGGCCGTTGTTGGTACGTAATTAGTGTCTTTACATTTCTTATTTAATTCCATTATAAATTAGCGAAGCACCTCGGATAGACCGCGGATTTTTATGCAAAATAAAATATTTACAAGCTTAAAGGATTTGTTTTAAACAACAGTTTTCTCTATCATTTAGATATTGCAATATGTGCTCTGTTTTCAGCCTTTGTAGTTTCTGAATATTAATTTCTCTTATAAATCCATAATATCCGCGGTCTGCTAATAAAAAAAAGATGCCGGCGTAGGATTTTCGTAACGAACCCTTGTTCCAGAAGAGGAAAACAGCGAATATTCAAGCGGCGTCCGGCAATCCGCTCGAATTTCCTTCGAGGACGACTTGTTCGGCAATCACAAACAGAACAAGCGTAATACCTTACTGACACAGACTCTGGAAAAGAATCGGCAAATTTTGTTGCACGAGGAACGCGTCGTCGAGGGTCACAACGAACAGAAAGAGACGAAGGAAGAGGACGATATCGGGGATGCGGACAGCGGCAAGGGAGACAGCTCGGTCTCCAGCGACATGAAGGATGAAGAACTTCCCGATCATCTGCAACTCGGCTCCGAGTTCACGTTTAGAGTGACCGTACTGCAGGCAATGGGCATATGTACCGAATATGCTGACATATTTTGCCAGTTCAAGTACGTACAACTTTACTGATAAAGATATTCCATGATCGAACTAATGGATAATTGTTATACAGTTTCTTACACCGTCACGACGAAGCATTCTCAACAGAGCCAGTGAAGAATACAGGGAAAGGAAACCCGCCGGGATTCTATCACGTGCAAAATGTGAGAAATGACCGGAGATTACTGTATATTCGAATACAACTCACGTATCTGAATTTACTATTTTACTATTTTACTATTTTTTATATAGATCACGGTTACTGTCACGAAATCCTTCTTGGAATACTTGAAGACCCAACCGATCGTCTTCGAAGTGTTTGGACACTACCAGCAGCATCCTCTGCATAAAGATGCCAAACTCGAATAGTAAGTATATAACAACTATTCTAATCCGGATCGCGTTGCAACTGAACGTTTCATCTAACAGCGTGAGACAACCACCGAAGAGAATGCTTCCGCCATCCATACCGATCAGTCAGCCCGTGCGCTCGCCGAAATTCGGGAGCGTTTTACCGTCACCGAGTACGTCGCACGTGCACGCGAAATACGACGTGCTGGTGTGGTTCGAAATCTGCGAATTGGCGCCGAACGGCGAGTACGTGCCGTCGGTGGTCGACCACAGCGACGATTTACCCTGTCGGGGACTATTCTTGCTACATCAGGGAATTCAACGTCGTATCCGAATCACCATTGTCCACGAACCAGCTTCTGAGCTCCGATGGAAGGACGTGAGGGAATTAGTCGTCGGGCGTATTAGAAATACGCCGGAACCGGAAGAAGAGGACAACGATTCATCGGTACTCTCGTTAGGTCTTTTCCCTGGAGAATATCTCGAAGTACCAGGCGACGACAGGACCATGTTTAGATTCGAAGCTGCATGGGACAGCTCTCTTCACAATTCCGTGTTACTCAACCGAGTGACGGCATACGGAGAACAGATCTTCATGACAATTTCCGCGTATCTTGAGGTACGTATCTTCTCAATTTAAGTTTCATCTCCCACTAATATTCATATCCACTTAAAAACTGAATAAATTTTTACTTTTTCACTCAGGTGTCTAATACAAAGTAACATATTTTTTGTATATGATATTAGAACAGTTATTCAGTCTTGAAATGTGTCCGAATATTAATGAGATTGATTGTATATTCAATGAACATTGTATTTAATGACGATGATTTTAGTTGGAAAATTGCGGAAGACCCGCGATTATCACAAAGGACCTGAGCATGATAATCTACGGCAGAGACGCCCGAGTTGGGCCGCGTTCTCTGAAGCACTTGTTCAGCGGAACTTACCGCAATCAGGAAGCGAACAGGCTCAGCGGTGTTTACGAGCTGGTCCTGCGTCGTTCTTCGGAAGCAGGTAGCCCAGGTTTGTCTTGCTACCCTTAGCGTAGACCCCTCTTCATCCCTTCCCATCCTTATTGATATAATAGTCGCATCGTACCGCTTGTAGAACATACATGTACCGAATTCCGCCGTTACGTAATCGCTTAATAAATAGGCCGCAACGTTCGCAAATGACTATTATATCATGCTGTTAACGAATTGGCAGTTATCTACGTTGTGTTTTATCCTTTGTTAAATTGAAAAATGAAAACTAACTTCTTTCTAACTCGACCAAATCTAAACGCACTTACCGACCAAAATTGCGGAACAGAAAAAGATATTTCGCATACTTTGATTCATAATTACATAACGCTAACGATTCGTTCGTGTTTCCTAATTCTTGTCGATAAGTGTACGCACATTTTCTGTCGTTTCACTCTTCATACGTTCGGTACCTACTCCACTCTCAATTGTTTTCGCAGGAGTTCAAAGGCGGCAACGACGAGTATTGGACACTAGTTCCACGTACGTCAGAGGGGAAGAGAATCTCCACGGATGGAGACCCCGGGGCGACAGTCTAATATTCGACCATCAATGGGAGTTAGAGAAGCTCACGAGATTAGAAGAGGTGGAAAGAGTCAGACACACGTTGCTGTTACGAGAGAAACTAGGCATCGACAAGGTCTTGTTCTGCAACAAACTGTCGCACGATTTCACGAAGAGCGAGAAGGTAAAATGATTTACCAAAATCATTCGGTCCCTGCATGTATATTTCCAGTAAGAGATCAAGTATAGGGAGCGAATCCTTTGCATTTGTTTGCCTAGGAGGTTTGTAATATGATGGCGAAGGCGACGAACGAACCGCACGCCAGCCCGGTCAAGTTGAAGCGCTCGACGAGTAAAGACGTGTACGAGCCTTGGGAGATGACCGACCGGGAAAAGGAACTAGCCACCAAATACATTAAACTCATTCAAGGCCGTATCCCGAGCAAAGAACCGCTTCTAATGTCCGACGTATCGCCCGGCGAGGACACTGATATGTCGACGTCGATGATGTCCTCGGTGATATCGTCCTCGTCTCAAGAGTCAGTATACGAGAGAGCTAGCGATTACTTAGAGCAGGTAACCCTCCCTGCATGCCTGAGTGCTCCTGCTAGTAGCGGTTGTCCACGCTTCGCATATTAATGAACATAGATATGTGTACGTTATCTCAACGAGAAACGGTACTAAGAAGGATTAAATCTCACGCAAATTCGTAGTTGCGCTTCCGGCGCGATCAGCTTTTCCGCGCGAACGTATCGCTTTCTGTCTCTACCGATGGTAGGGCATAATTCGAGTTAAAGACAACCGCCGGTGCGATTGGGAACACACGGTCAGGGTGATGCTGGAGTGTTACTTGCAGGCCGCTGGTATAATAGTATGGAGCAGGTCTAAGTCGTGCATCCTTAGGTTAAGCTCACCGGAAAGGGCTAGACTGCAGGAACTGCAGGAGAGCATACTGGCAAGCGAGTCGGCTAACAATCAAACGTGTAGCATCGCGCCGGCCCCGTTGGGATCCTCCTCGCCGTCGAAGGAGAATTTGGTACTCTACGTGCCGGAAGTTGAGGAGATTCGTATCAGTCCGGTGATCGCCAGGAAAGGATACCTGAACGTTCTCGAGCATAAGACGAACGGCTGGAAGAAACGCTGGGTGGTACGTATTTAGATTTACGTAATGCCCTCAGAATTTAGAGAAACAGTGAAGTCTGTAAATACATAGATTTCAAAATTGAGTAATTTTTTTAATATTGGATTTGACGAAATAATTTTTGTGGTAGAGAGATTAGTTTACTGTACGATTATACAGGATTTTATCTATTTATGGAAAAATTGTATTGAATCGTTAATTGTTAATGCGACAATTAAAGTGACTGCAATATTATTTGTTGTTATTTATTAGGCTGTGCGACGACCGTACGTTTTAATCTTCCGAGAGGAAAAGGACCCGGTAGAAAGAGCTCTCATTAATTTAGCTACTGCTCAAGTTGAATATTCGGAAGATCAGTTAGCTATGGTGAAAGTACCAAACACCTTCAGGTAAATTATTTATAATACAATTCCATTTACTAACCCATTAGCTGGTTCAACGAGACATTCAGACAAATTTTTGCTTTTTTCAGCGTCGTTACAAAGCATCGAGGCTACTTGTTGCAAACTTTAGGGGACAAAGAAGTTTACGACTGGCTGTACGCTATTAATCCTCTTCTCGCTGGTCAAATCAGGTGCGTATACTCCAAGATATTCATAAAGTGATGAACGATCAAAAAAGAACGAGCGAAACACATGTGGGGATTGTTACAGGTCGAAGTTAGCACGCAAAGGACCGGTATCCACGAATCTAAACAACGCTTCGCCTGTTGGTCTGACCCCGTCGGTGGATCAACAATCGAATCAAAATAAGTGAGTGGCCGACGCGTTGGCCGAGGTAACGAGTGCCATTTCGAAAGCCTCCGAGAAGATACTATGCTGGTCGCACTCGGCCCTCGAGTCCCACGATCTCTGTAGCTTTCGATTTTCGGTAGTCTTCGATTATTAAACAAAACAAGCAAAAAAAGTCTCGGCAAAAAAAGCGTACTATATGTATACATCGATTGGCTACCAAGCGTCGATAGCCGACGTTTAATTATCTCGCGGCATATGATTTAATTAATCGTCAGCCCCTTCACTCCTGTCGATCGAACAGACAAATACAAAGAGAAGTAATTTTCGGCGAACAATACGGAGGGAGAATCATTATCGATGTTCGAATTGCATTGAAATCGTTACTTTCGAATCGCGGGCTCCTCTTCCATGATCTCTCCGTGCGTTTCGCGACACGAAACGTTATCAAACGTCGACGAGGTAATCTCTGTATGCGAGCCCGCGACACCGCTCTCAACACTTATTTCGATACTTCTCAATATCTAGTCGGTCGAGCGATTCTTTTAAGCGTGAAACGCGTATGGCGAGGCGAGGAACGTGTTTATGCCTAAATAAAACATTCCTAAGACGATCATAGAAAACGAGGCACTTGTAGGTATATTCATTAAACGCGAAGACGCGGTGCGAGAGGACGGAAGAAAGAATGGGCGAGGACGAGCTTAGGCGACTGTAGCGTTATGTTACGAGGTTTGCGTGTTCATGCTTGGGAGAGCGAAAGGGGGAGACCAAGAAAGGGTGCGATTTCGAACGAATTCAACCCGGTAATCGTTGAACTATTCATTGTTACCATAATATGTTTTTGTAATTACATTTGTCACGTCGAAATAATTTCTTCTCTCTCTTGTTTCGTGTTGCTCTAAAATATTCTGAATACTTGAGCCACAGTACTGTTCTCGACGCTGTAGACTCGTATTCGTACGAGCTGACCGAGGAAAACGTCTATCTGAAATCTTAGCGCAACACGGACGACTTTCAGTATTATTTAGATATTATTTTTTAATTTATTTCTAGTATAAACGTTCGTTCATCTATGAATATTATATTCTGGTCGCCTCGATATATTTTTCTTAATTTATTTAGTTACATTCCGATTTTTTATCGAGAGGTCACAGGAGAGACGATTACCGCCGGGACGAGAAACACGAGGCGGATTATTTTCTCTGTCATTTATACGCGGTGGTCCATGCGAAAGCGCGCCCCGCTTCTGTTACCGTTTTTGCTTAATAACTGTTGTAGAATCTAATAGTTTTATTTTGTTAAACGACGACACGCGAATCGGCGAGATACGAGGAACCGTGAACGATCGAACGAGTTGTACGCTCTCGGCGCTTTTAACCCTTTGAAGCAAACATTTAAACGAAGCGATGCGTATGCAATTTCCTTTTTAAACACCGCCACTGTGTCATTGATCGGTTCGATTATCATTATGTTAAACTCTTTTGTATAGTAGCGATTCGAATGTAATTATACTAGTTCCCGGCCGAGGAAGGGGATAATTTGTAAATTGGAATTGCGAACGCATTTACGTGACATCGTTAAATAGATGTATATGTATATTTAGTAGTCCGAAACTTGACTCGCATAATTGCAATACGGTTTGAGGATGGAACGGTATCTATCTCGATATTTATACCGGGGGTGATGATAAATTTAATTTCAGGAAAAATACTGTCTCCAGGTGCAACTTATGGACAATATACTACCATGACAAAATTAATTATAATTTCACTATCGCCCCTAATTGTAATTAAATCTAATAATTAGCAATTCCACTGAGACAGTCGGAACGCTGGAGGAAGCTAGTCATGTTTAACTCATCCGCCTAGTACGTGTAAACGTTGAAAAGTGCAATAATGGTTTCTAAAGCTAAACAATGTATCAATGTTTAACCGATTGATTTACAGCGGTTCAGTGTCGGCTAAATTATTGTTATTTATGTTTAATGCGATGTAATAAAGAGATTCGAGATCCTAAATAAAATTAGGAATGATAGAATCCGTGTAACATAAATATAATAAGAGATATGCAACGTTCGTAATTACCCATGAAGGCAACCATAAATAATATTTGATGAAATCTGAATTGAATTACGCAAAGGATGTACTCTCGATGTATCGCTATTTTTTAAGACGTTCGTTATATTCTACAGGTATAATTGTACTTTGACAGAAGCTAGAATTAAAAAGTGTAGATTTTACGTAACGCGCTTTTACACGAAGTAAAAGGATGAAAGTGGACGCGCGCCGCTACACTTTTCTTTTTTCCAACGTGCATAGAACGGAGATTTATAAAACTGTGCAGAGGAATATAACACGCACGTACAATATAAATACGTAATATGCGTATAACAAATATATACCGAGTATTACTTCTTACGATGCATACCATTTATATTCGAATGTGTTGTTTGAGTATACCGTTCGTTTGTTACACTTATATATATATATATATATATAGACGATAATTAAAATTGTGCATATGAATAAAGGTGAAGCAAGAATAAGAGGAGAGAGGAAACTGTTGCTTCAGGGGGTTAAATTCACGTTAATTTATTATTAATGTTCGAGGAGCGGAGGAGGAAAAATGGGAACCAAGAAATTACGTAAATAAAAGTGGACCGAGGAGGACAGCGGGCGTCGCGGATAGAAATGCGGACACGCCGTCGGTAAGATTTAATGATCATTGTTGTTATTAGAGATCGAAATACGAGATTAAAAAAGGAAAGGAAGAGACGAGGAGGCGGGAGAAACGGAAGAGTTGAAAGAGAAAACGGGAGAGAATGGAGAAGCGCGCCCGAGAGAACGAGAGAGAGTGAGCGAAAGGGATAGCGCGAAAGAACATGTTAGCTTATATATAAATATATATATATACCTTATACAGATAAAGTATATTATATAAATGATATATAAATAAATTTAATATTACCGTAAGGATTTTGTCAAACGTCAAGGATCATCGTGGTCGCACGAAGTAAGGGTTACGATGATTTCAATCTGTACCAAGTATGTAAGTTCATCTACTTGTTTGTAAGGTAAACACTAAAGAAGACTCTATTGCTAAAAAAAAGGAAACCAGAAACATTTTCGTTTACGGTCGTTTGCTATGAGAACATGCATCGATGCAGTAACTTGTATTTATTATTGTTATTAACATTAACTATTATTATTATTATTATTATTATTATTCGATTTTTCGCTAGGCTCACTGTAAGTGGTAACGTGTAATAAATCGGTCAATAAAAAGCTTACATGCTTAACGAATTCATTCTATAGACGTACCTGTACTTTGAAACTGGAGACTAGGAACATGAAAGATGATAATAATAATGATCGAGCGTCATCTTAAGTTGTTTTATTTAATCATAAAACAACCCCTTACATTGCAAATGAACTCGTTGAGACTGTAAAAAACGTCAAAATACACGTTCGCCCGTCGATTTGCGTGCAACTCTACATCCCGCACCAATTTTGTAAAAGCATTGGCTAGTCTTTCCACGATCTGTTGATCTGTTTGAGTCGATAGAATGTTCTGTACAATTTTATTGTACTCGTCTCGATAGCAACGTATCAAATTAAAAAGTGGCAGGCTGACGTCGTCGACGAAATCCGAATTGACTTGTTGCGTTAAAATAACGTTGATCAGCGACTGTCGAAAAACGAGACGAGGTATTACGATACGAGTTTTCTAATACACAATTACAATTAAGCTCCAGTAGCAACTTACATTCAAGAACGGTGCCATAACTTGGATTTGCGGACGGTTATCTTTAAGATTTCGTAATATCTCCTGCGTCAAACTGTCGATCGCACAGCAACATATTGAAAACACTTCTGAACCGAACGAGAATAAGCCTAACTCGATCGACGCCAGAAGCGGCTGCAATATTTTCGGAGGGAAGCTGAATACTTGTCGTGCGTGCATCCTACAGAGAGATTGTATCATTTGAAAATAGCTGAAAAAAATAGGTTTTATTTCGATTAAAGTAACTTAAACCGAGATTTTGCTTGTGCTTTAAGGCACGGGGAGACTTACCACACGCATAAACTGGGAAATTTTAATAAATCCGTAGTCATCATAGGCATAATTATAGTCAAACTATGTAAAAACACCGATTCATCTTCGAATATACTCTCGTACAGAAGATTGGTGGACAATTTCAATAATAACAATATATCCTCGTAACTATTATCTTCTGCTGTCGTGTCGACAGTTAATCGATTACTATTCCAACGTCTATAATTTTGTATTGTGCTCAGAAATATCTCAGAAATTTCTGCAGTTTCACTCTAGAAAAGTGCAAAAACTTGAAGTGACAATGCAGTAGCAATAAACACGTAAATAAATTTCGATTAATTACCAACCTGGTCTAATCTGCGAAGTACTGGTGCTGGTTCCCTCGTACATTCGTAAAGCAACTCCAAAATTAATTCTACGACTTCCTGGTAATTATGATACAAGGATAATAAATGCGGCAGTTGCCGTAATACAGGTTGCAAATATCGATACATAGTGCCTGCTTTGGACCCTTGTGCGCCCTGCGCTACACCTAAATATCAAAGGCTACGATTATTACTTTTCAAACATTTCCAGTGAGAACGGATTACAAATGTTTTACCAATGAAACATTCTAAAATATCTATCACTCGGAGTTTAATGTTCTCTTGTTGATATATTTGCAAAAACTTGTCGTTTGAAGTGATTTGTTTAAATCTATCCAACAACGGTTGTAGAGACTCCGCCGTATAAGATTCGTCTATACTCTTTTTAAGAGTAACTGCAATTTGGACCACTGCTTGCATCAGACCTCTTCTAACTGTTTGCGGAAAATCAAGGTGCTCGTTTATAGCCAAATTTACGATGCGCCTAAACCGTTCCGCCTTTAATACGTAATTAGCTCTGAAAAATATATTTCCGTTAAGCGTATTGTCTACAGTAGAAGATTTTGCAGGTTCTTTCTACGGACTCACTTCTCTCTGGTTTTAACAAGCGATGTTAACAGGTACATAGTCTCTTCCATTACCGCCGGCTCGCTTTTAAAAGCGTTAATATTCAATTCGATCTTTTCTAAAAGAAAGTCGATGAACCAACACGCGCCGGGCGTATCTTCGCTGAAGGTCTGTGCAGCCGCTAAAGATTTTATGTCGCTACACGCATAGAGTTCATAATCTGGTAGGAGATAATGCTCCGACGTTCTATGCAAGAACCAGATTAGCGTGCGACTTAATTCGGGGCTTAATATGCTGTCCAGTCGAACGGACATCGCAGTTCTCTCTATGGAACACAGCCGACAAATGTCTGCGATCAAACGAATTACATGATCTACCGATTCTATCGAAATATTCATAGGTGGTGAAACGTACTCCGACAATGCCAAGTACTGTGACGTAGCGTTCATGTCAACTTTTCCTTGTTGCACCTTAAAAACAAATTTGGCTGCTTATTAATTAATCTCTTCAATGGAACACGTGAGACGTTTGATGCATCGATGTAAAATGAAGCTGCAATCTATACTATTTGTAGCGTCTTGCTTTTCACTTTCACTTGTAATTTACATACCTGTTCTATGCCGTATTCCACTATTTCTGAAGGTATTATGCTAACTTCACCACGAGATTCCACGCCAATTACATTACCTATCATAAGGATTAGCCAATATAAATCCTCGTATAATCTAGACATGGAATCGTTCTCCATTGCGTTCAACGATTCTCTCTGCTCCATCGATCTGTTTAAATTCTCACGTAATTTCGAAGTACGATCTTCTATCAACTGTGCCAATAATGGGAGAGTGTAACTTGGTATTTGCCTACCAAACGTTGCTGAAATGAAAAATTTATTGTACGCATCAAAGGGTGTTAACAATGCAAATAACAGCATGCATGTGCAAAATTTACCGATCATTTTTAAAGGTCCCTTGAACTTCATTCCGTCCACATCGTCGTCCTCTGTTTCCTCTTTTTGTAGAACAATATTTCTAACACCTTCCGGAGGTGATAAATGACACCGAAGATACGTATCGAACATGTACATATGCGACTGAGAGAATGTTTGTTTAAGGGATTCGGGAAGACCAGCACGTAAAATATAGAACCATGTAGTGAACAAAATATCTATAGCCTCTGTATATAAATATTCATCGGTGTCCGACTACAACGAATCAAATCGTTTTTAATAATATCATAATTACATCTTTAGGGGAGATCGATTCTCGACTAAAATTACTGTGACTTACTGATTCTTCTTGAGCTGCGAGCTCCAGGAACGAACAAGTTAATCGCGACAGTTGTTCCATAAATGATTTCAACATATTTTCCGGATAGGAACCATAGATTCGTTTTTCTTTAAATAGATTGTTCGTTATATTGGCGATACCGCTTGCTTCTTCGTCAATGATTTCAATGCTCGTCACGAGTTTCAAGAATCTATCCAAGTAGCTAATGTAATATTGCACCACCCTTTCGTCGGATAACACGTCGTCGTGAATGTTGACCATTTGTATCAAACAAGTTCTCACGTGATGAGCTAATTGTAGATTCCCTCGTATTTTCCAGTACAATGTAAATACTAAATCTAATACTTCAGGGGTCAACATTATATCCCGCCATTGTTTGTCCAGTCTCAAAACTTTATAGACTATAGACAAGGGGGATTGGCTCGTGATGACACTCATTACAAATTGTGCAATGGAGTTAAGGAAATAAAATAAGATTAAATTTGACAAAGAACAAATTGCGAATGAAGTAAATACATCAAACTGCTGAAATTTCGATTTATAAAAAAGGATATTTTGACCTTTCGGACGAAAGAATTGCCATGTAAATACGTTCTCCAAGATCGGTAATAAATGTTTCAGCAATGCTATACTGTCATCTTGCAAATCCTTCTTAATCAATTCATTGATTATTCGAATGCAAAAGCTAAAAATTCTTCTCAAGTCATGAGTCTCAAACAGTTTCTTTTCGTTCACTTGATCTGCGAACGATAAACCTATATATGAGGATTTCGAGTTGATCGCATATTGCTGAAGCAAAGCAGAAATAAGGTTGCATCCAAGAATTTTCTGAAAATGTTGCAGACCATTGTAGCATATGATGTTATAAGACCTAGCAGACTTAATTGACTTTACTTACTTTTGGCAAATCACCAGTTATAATTAAATTCTCGACTTCTCCTAATATCTGCTGCCTTGCCTGTCCAGAATCATTCATGCTCCCCTTTTCTATTATAATTGCAATAACTTGCAATATAGATGCTTTCACATATGGGGGCAAGTTTTGTCTGTTTATAACATAACGTAGCAGGTAATCCCTTAACGAGGAAATATCTGTTTGCGACAATTGCTGCCATTCGTGTATCAATGCTATTCTTATTAAGCCAACAGTTTCGAAAAGAATATAATCGTTCGTATTGGTCTCTAAAATTTGGCTACAAAGCTCGTATGGTGATCGAAGTTTTCGAAAATTTAGGAAAACATCTTCCGCAGTTCGACGTTGCTCTGAAGAAATTAAATTTGGTGGTGCCTAAAAAGATAATACGGATACAACAGAGCATAGTATACAAAAATTGAATTACATTTTATACAAGAAAATTCAGAAACTTCACTAAATGTTGATGTAAACCATCACAAAAGAGAGGTTAATGAATCCTTTAGTAAACGCAAACTTACCAAGATTACTTGTGCAGCCTTTTCTAATTCTCTTATCAATTCTCCTGCCATTTGTGCGCAAATAAATATTTATTTATCGTTCTGTATAATAAAATTGACAACCCTCCCCGATCCCATCAACACAACAGACACAACACTATACAATAATAATAATACGGAATATCCCCTCCATCCAAGTTCTTACTCCCCCGCCGCCATCACACCAACGAGCCGACTCCAACACTGCTCCAACGCCTGGTTATATGTATATTTCGAACGGACAATGTATATGTAAATGCATTTGTAACATATTTTTATAATTTTTATTGATTGTTAAATTTGAAGATTGTCACGTACAATCGATGCATGTGCGAATTTTTACATGTAGGAAACTTAATATAATAATACAATGTAATATATTGTAAGATCGTTATACATAATTATTCAAAAAGATTAAGAAAAAATGATTCAAACTATTGTATACAAATAGTGTAGCCGGTATTATAATTTGTACCACCGAGGCTAAGGAGTCTCTTTGGCTTTGAACGTTGTTGTTCGTACACCTATTTCTCCTTCACCCGGCGGATGTCGAAAACGTAAGTTATATTGTAACACGTGTAAAATTAATTTAAAATCAATTTGCTCTATAATAATGTGAAAACTAATATCGCAAACATCCCCGTTTTTTATTTTATTTTATAATCAAAGATTAAACGTTTAATTT